TCTACAGGCGGTGGTGGGGCTGGGTGGAGGGACCCACAGATTCCAGCTTAGTCAAAGTGGCAGTAACCAAGTCATTAAACCTGTTTATCACACCCAAAGAAGAGCTGTGGCCAAGCTTTCCTCTTCCTGCTATCACTTGAAAATTCTAAGAAGGAATGCGCATCAAGCGCCTTCTGCATTCTGATTGTCTTGGAGATAAGAAGAACAGAAGGGTGGGAAACTCTACTTTTAAGTCCTTCTAAAGGGAGAAACAGTGAAGAGAACCATTGATCTTGTTACAAAGGGAAACTTGTGTACAAGCCCACTGATGAACACCACTGAACTCTTAAAAATTCTTGAAAAGTGGTCCTTTTCAAGATTTATTTTTCCTTGTCTTTTGAATTTTGTTGATTTCTACTACCCTGCCCATGCTACAACACTCAGTAGGGAAGCCTCCCCTTGGCCAGCCCCTGTGCTCTGGTCAGTTAACTCCATGGAATTGTCCTCCAGCACCAGAACTGTTTCCTGACTCCAGAGCTGGTACTGAAAGGCTGACTCCTGTGCTCACTGATTACACAGCACCTTTGCAAATACACAGAGACACACAGAGCTCTACACTGCTGTGACATTGTAAAGGCAGTCCTTTACATGAACCCTCAGAATCATGCTGGACAAACAGCAGCACTGAAAACAGAGAAAAGAAAGTTTGAAGTCAGAGGCACAGATCAGGAAAAGACAATTGTACTCATGTATAAACACTGTCACATCCTCACTTAGGTAACAGTCTAAAGGAAAATGGTATGGTAATTTTTTGGTTGGCTGTCCAGAAAAACCTAATTAGTGGCCAAAGACTAACTCATGCTACCAGGCAGTTATGGATCAGGGTTTTTTTCCTCAAACAAGCTGCTGAACAGTAACAATTACATACTTTAAACCCAAGGAAATTAAAACCCGTGTGTACCTAGTGATGCAGACAAAGTGTAAGGGCAACTCAATTCCCATTGGGATGCATCCAAATTCAGAAATCTTACATGAGTATTTACAGAATTTAGAGAGACAACATCTGTACCAATTCTGTCGGATGTAACTGACAATTTAGACAGCTAGTTCCTTTCTAATGAGGCTGTTTTTTAAAGTTATCACGTCCTCATAACTTGAACTAGCCTTTTTTTTCCTCTGTTGGCTATTTTTATGCATCTGAAATGCTCTGCATCAAATGCTGCTTTTTTATATAAAGTTTAGTTGCTTAAAGGAGAATGGGGGTACTGTGAGCTCTTACAGAAACATTTTATAATTCAAGATGTTATGCTTCCATACTAAAAAGTTAACAAGGGGAAAGCTGTAGCCACATTATGAATTGAGCCATTTCAAAACCAAAACAGTGTAGGAAAACAGTGTATTCACAAAATGAATGCTAAGATACATCCCAATTCATACAGCAAACCCAAAAAAAAAAAAATTGAAAGCTTCTTAACAACAGTTAATAGAAGATCCAGACGAACATTTCTGTACTTATTCAACATCTACTAGAAGGGAGAAGCTAAAGATCAATCCAGAGGAGTATTTGCAATGCAATTAGGCTAGACAAGTAAGCCTGAATGTATGCCAGCTGCAGGGGTCTGCCCTTAATTCACACAATCAAATGTCTAGTGTGTCACACAGTGTCTAGCATCAGTATCTCCAGTATTAAAAGTCTCATCAGAAATGCACTTGTTTACTGAGTGTCTAATCAGGATCTGAACACATATCTAGCTGTACCTTCTAGCAGTCTATATGCCAGTCCATCACCATCTGTCAGTTAAAGCTCCCGCAGACAGAAAAACATCGATTCTAACAAATGTGTTCGGTACTCAAACTAAGCTATCATTCACATTTCACTATAAGACTTGAATTCCTTTTCAGTGTTCTTCAACTCTGACCCAGCTCTACCCCCTCCTTCACTGAAAAGGGCAAAGACAACAGCCCAGCAAGTGGGACAGGCAAAACAGACCTCCTTTGTTCACTTTTTCCCTTTCAGTTTTCTATTGAGGTAAATAACTGAAAGCTCAGCCAGCCTCCAGTAGCTCAGAAGAAAGCAAGATAGCTAGCTTGCAACTATCGCTTCCTGGCTAACAAACTGCAGGACAAAACTTACGGTGCATCATGTTAATCTTATTATTAGAGATTAACTCTACAAATTCCTTTAATATCACATTTATGAGACAGTATTCACAAATGCAGGAGTAGCAATGTCCTTAATACTGAACTGAACAGGCAATACACACACTTGCCAATTCAAAATGCAACAAATTATCACTGCAGAGAAAGTATTAACAGAATTTTTTAAATACTATCAGCCCACTCAGGAAGGCAAAATCAAATTCATTGCATATTGCCCAACACAATACCTCCTACATTATTCCCTCAGCTTTCATTACCCAGATATACTTTCCTCTGTATGACTTCCCATTTTACCAACTCTGTTCATAAAACGTGAAGAAATTAACAAGTCCAGTGAAAACTGAACAGCAAAATTTTACTGAGCTATGTCAATATAACGGAAGTTAAGTAATCACAATTGAAGGTGATTTGAGACAGATGAACAAAACTACAGAATAACAGCAATTTCACAGGTGCAGGCAAAACAGATTTAATTTTTAGGCTGATTGAGCTATTTGAGCTCAATCAAAATGCTCAAAAAATGCCAAACCCTTAGTGTATTACATATCTTTTATGTCCAGATACCATGGCAAGTCATTTTGCCAAGGCAGGAAGAACAGGCAACATGCATTACCTGACTTGAAATTGGAATCCTCAAAATAATAAAATCTGACAATTAGAGAGACATCTTATTAACGCCAAGAAACTCCTAACTTGGTTACTAAAGCTTCTGCTGTCACCTTTTTGAGCACCAAAGAGAAACACCACAGTACAACAAGCTAGCAGGAGGTATCAGCATGCATCACTGGATTTATTTCATTTTCTTAAAATAAAGACCATTAAAAATAGCCAATTTTTTTTTATTACAGCCCTTTTTGTCAAACAAGCTGTGGTGTACATGATGAATAATATGCTTTCTCCAAGAAGATATGGAACAGTATCCGAGGCTCAGATTCTGGTGATCTCGTTCACCTTGAACATTGTTACTTTTGAATAATTCTACTGTGGCCAGTAATGCCAATGACAGAACTAAGATACTATTATGAGTAGTTGTGGATTTATCTGCGAGTTGTAAAGCAGGTTTTAGCTCCATCCTTAGCACAGCTAGTGTACACTACTCCACCATCCAATGTGACCACCCAACTGTACAGTTTGCCTTTGGCTACACTGCCTTTGCACAGCCCAGAATGTGAATTCATTCAATGGATCCCAGGTTCTGTCACCACCAAGCAGCCTTCTGGGTTTGCTTCTTTACATTAAATATTCTCAGAATGTAACACTTTCCCAGTTCTATATTGATATAGTCTGACAGCTAATTTTAGACACACTAGAGAATTTCAAAGTACTTTGAAATTCAAATAAGTAACTTGCACAGACTTTGGCATCACACTCATTAGGAGCTCTGGTCACTTGCATTGCAATTTCTATTCAAAACTAAACAAATGCCTGAGGTGTGTTCACACAAATGACAACATCAAACACATTAGACAACTATTAAGAAGATGCTGCACCTGCAAGTCAGTTTTCTGATTTCTAGGTCCTTTGAGCTGTGTAACACTGAACTACCCTTCTCTTTCCAGCTGATATCTCTTGCCAAAGAACAGCAGCAAGACTGGCCTCTTGGCATATAAGCTGCTCTCAAAATCAAAAGACAGTCCAGATGTTTTCTGATGTCATACAGTGACCTGTTTTATACACAGACCCATGTAACTACTATCCATAAATTATCATATCCATTACATTAAATTATGGGAGATGTTGAAATTATTAATAGTGCACCTATTAGATACAATAAAGTTTTCAGGTTTCATCTACCTTTTCCACAATATATTTAATTAAGAATCAAAATCAGACAGAGAAAGAAATGCACAAAGACAGGGAACATCAGAAAAAAGAAACCCAGGTGTTTAATACTGCCTTTTTCACTCAGTAGGAGGTTGTTTTGAATAAATACACAAAAGCTGGACCTTTATGGATAAAAGAACATCATGTCATGATCCATAGGTTTCATTGCAGAGCTATATATCACATTTTCCATTGTTTTATCCAACTACACAGAGAGCTAAGCAACAGCATTCTTTTCACAGAGTACTTGTCAATATGGAACAGCCTTATTAACTGGGCTGAAGCACACTATGATCTTAAATATTTAAACAGCTTGGCATTATTAATCAGGTACTGTTTACACTTAGACTCCAAAGCCTTGGTTTAAACACATTTCAGACTTCAAAACTAGCACATCTCTGCTGAAGACCTCAGCGACAGCTGAAGGTTTGGTTAATTATTAGTTTATAACCAAAGAGACAAGTGCACTCGCTGCACAGACTTCACCACGATATTCTGCATTAATCGCCTTCAAGAAGCCAAAATAGGGAAAACACGAAAAGCCCACAATTCAGACACCCTGTAGCTATTTTATATCTAAATGAAATCGCAACTGTGAGGAGCGGGGAAAGAAAAAAAGAAAAGTACGGGTGATAAATAAAAGCGCAAGAGCCGGAACGCGGACGGCGGCAGTTCAGCACCGACAGCTCCTTCCCCCGCACACGCCCGGCCCTCGCCCCCGCCGGGCAGCGCACGAAATGGCGACCGAGCCCGCCCGGGCTGTGGGCGCGCCGCAGCCGCGGAGCGTCTCCGCCCGGCCCGGCCCGGGAGGTGCCAGCGGCCGCCGCAACAAAGCCCCGCAGGGCCGCGGCACCGGGCTCAGCCCGCGCCTCCTCGCCCGCCCCTCGGAGGAGCCCCGGCGCCCACGGGGGACAGGGTACCGGGGCGGGCACCTCGCCGTCGAGGCGGCGGTGCGGGGCGATGGATGTCACACTAGCGGTGCGGGGGAGATGTGACACCGGCGGTGCGGGGCGATGGATGTGACACCGGCGGTGCGGGGCGATGGATGTGACACCGGCGGTGCGCGGGGATGGATGTGACACCGGCGCGACGGCGGGCGCGGCAGCTCACCCTGCGTGATGCGCGGCGCGGTGACAGAGACGGCCAGGTCGGTACTCACGGGAAGGTGCGGCCCCTCTCTGCCCGGGGAGAAGAGGGTCCAGGGGCTGCTCGCGCTCTCGGTGCCGCTGCTCCTGCTGCTGCCCGCTCGGCAGCCCGGCGAGAAGAGCCGCGGCGGGCGCGCTCCCGCGCTGTGCGCGTCTGCGCGAGTCGCGCCGGGGTGGGCGCGCGCGCGGCGCGGGGGCCGGGGCGGGGCGCGGGTCCCTCACACCTGAGGGGGCGCGGGGCGCGTCCATCTTGGGCATCCCTTCCTGCCTCCCTCTTTCGCTCCCTGCCTCCGCCACCTGGGTTAAAACCCGGCTGGAATCGACATTGCAGCACCGCTCAGGGGCTCCCGGACCGACCTGGCCCTGAGCCTCCCCAGCAGTGCCCGTGCTCCGCAGGCCCTCGGGCGCCGCCTGTGCCCTGCCCCGGCTGGGGACAGCCGAGCGCTCCCCGCGGCACCCCCGGAGCTGCCCCCCCGGCAAGGGCGGTGTTTTAAATAGCCGCATTATTTTAGCCAGGCAGTGCCCCTCTAAATAGATGGTTTCAGCGAGTTCCCAAACTGGAGACAAGGATATTATTTTACACTCGAGAATTGTCCTGTTGAACTCGTTAAATTTGCAGTTCACAAGTTCAGGAAGGCGGGCGCTTGGATGCGATCATTGAAAGGGAAGCTTTGCGTGACACCATTTGGAGAAGAGTCGGGAACGGGGCTTATTCCAACTAAACCTTTCTGCTGAGCACACCTCTCACAGAGCTCTGCTTCCCTTTCACGACAGTTCATTTAATGAACGACATCAGAAATTATTTTAATGTAACTTTAAGACTGCTTAGAATTGCTCAAAATTAATCCTACTATAACATAGTAAATGTGATTAACTGCTGCTACTGAATTTGCCTTCGGATCAGCCGCTATAGGAATAGCCTTTTGTGCATTGCAAGGTGGCAACTTTTGTTAACCATTATACATTTCAGGGAGCAGCTCTCAAGGTGAACTCTACAGTGATAATTTAATAGTGCAAAATGCAATGCCTGAGATGAGCAAATAGCCCTTACTCTGCATCTCTGCAGAAACCACATTACAACTCTGACAAGTTAAATCTGAACATCTGACCTTCTGAAAACAACACTTGAGATAAATAACAGATTCTGTAAATGATATAGCACATGAATATAAATATCCAAGGGTTAAACAATAAGTCAGACATTACTGCTTCAGACTGGAGATATTCAAACTTCTATCAATCTGAAGCCAGGATATTAATGTTTGAGACCAGAATATGCAAAGAAGATTAGATGAATGTGAAGAAAAACCATTTAATATACAGAGAGGTGTTTCAATGTTCTTTCATCTGTTTGCTTTTTTATTTTTTGTTATACACCTCCCATGTTTCCAACTGATTTATTTAACTACAAAACACTACAGTCTAAGTAAATGTGCATCAGTGTATACACAGATGGCTTTAAAATGCTAGGATACTGCCTGACTTTTCTTCCACAATATTGTCTCCCATCAGGAGTGTAGCCACTCCTGGCTTTGTGAAAATGTAGGTATAAAATGCAGAGAGAACGCTGAAAAGTTATCTGTCTGTTTGCATCCCTGATGGATTCCATTGATGAACCAAATCTTCAGGAGGTTGACTGTAGAACTGCAGGACACTTGAGGGGAAAGATCTCAGTTGAAAGTTTACCTTTCTTGAAATGTAGGATCAAAGATCTGGTTAGTATTTGGGTGGCCAGCATACGATTCTTTATAGGCACAAACCAGTGGGCTGTGGCAAACAACTTGGTGGAAATTTGACCACAAGACCCATGTAAATGAAGAGATTTTACTGGGGCAGGGAGGGTGTAAAAAACAACTCTACACTGATGTAATAAACAGCTCTACTGATGTAGGGTGAAGCTGTAGTGTTGCAGCTGGTATTATTACACCCTTGTGATTCCCCTCAGAATTTTAAATCTATATTTTTTTATATTACATAGATAAACAGATATACACGTTCAATAGCAAATTGTGGCATAATTCTTAGTAAACAAGTAAATTCAAAGGTTTATACAGCTAGGAGCTACTGGTGATGGCTTCTGCTTGTCTGGGTGACTGCTACCCATACTGGCAGTAGGATGGTGGCACCAAGCAAAAAGAAGCAGGTGAGCTTGGTGGCATAGACAACAACAGCCTTTATGACAAGCTGAAGTTTTGTGGCTGAAGGAATATTAGCTTTCAGAGTTCTCTGCTGCCTTGCATCTTTTCTGTAGTCATCATATTATTTTTTGTAGCCTTTCTTCTCACTTTGTCTGCTGCAATTATATCCATGGATGGGCAGTTCCAAGCATAGTCTTAGTCCTCATTTTCCTTTATTACCAGCCTTGGTTTAATTAGCTATCATCTACTGCTTTCTTCTATATTCATTTGTTGGAGTTTTAGTAGTCTCTGTTTAGGGGAGTACTGATCAGGTACACAACACATTTATTTGAAATACAAAATTGGTTCACAATTGCAGTATTGTGGCAAAGAAAAAAATCAAAAACTTGACTGTAATGGGTATCAGTTGTGATCTAGATCTTGAAAAGTGTTTGTAGGAAGAGGTTACAAATAAAATACCCAGAGAAATGATACTTTGGTAAAGGCTAGGGTCATTGTAAGGGGCCCCCCACTGGGTGATAAGTTACATAGACTCCATGTATTTACAGAAAGCTGATCAATAATCTTTATTTAGAAACCCATACTTTTATACCCTAGTTTTCTACAGGTGGACCTAATTGGTCCTCCAATTTAAATACTATTACTATTAGCTAATTATGAAGCCACCATTTGGCAAACAAATCTCCATAACACATTCCACATGCTCACAATATCAGGTGTATCAAGTTAAGCTAAGAATTGTTTCTCATTCTTTTCTCTGATCTTCTCACAGACTTTTCCCAGAGCAATGCTTGGGAAAGTTGTGTTTCTCTCTGTGGCCAGAGAACTGCTGTCACAGGCTAGTGTTAGCTGAAAATAATTCTTTGACATTTTCTTCCTAAAGCAGACATTTAAAAGAGATGTGGAAAGACATCTTTGGTTGTTCATCTCACCTAACTTTAGATGTCTACTATGGGAATGTCTGCATCTGAGCTAGTCAGTCTCTCCACTGAGCATAAAGGGAACCAGAAATAGGCGCTTCTAGTGAGTGATTCATCTAACCTATTTTAGATGTCTACATTAGAATAAGCCAAGTTGCATCCTAGAAATGCCTCTTTCTCTCCGTTGACTGTAACAGGACCAGCGGGTGTCTCATTTAGCTGTAAATGTCTACATTGTAAGAGTCTGCATGCACTCAGCTGAATGCCTTCCATGTGATTTTAACGTGAGTTATGCCACTGTCCCACTGTTCCACTTGTCTTGAGGTCATACAATGGTGAATGGAGCATGGTGTAGCCTGCAAAGTACTTTACAAAATGAAAGAGTGAGATGTACTCCACTGAATGTATTGAAAGTCAATAAAATTTAGATTAATCATATTCAGTAGATTTTGGGGGCCACAATCTACTACTGAACAACTTTTGAGATTAATTTCAATCTAGTTTGTTTATGGGCACTTCATATGTATTTTGGAGGTATTTTTATACTATAGTAGTAAAGTAAATGCACTTAACTGCTGGACTAATACTCTTCAGAACTCTTTATTTACTACAGCAGTATAAAATGAGAATATTTCTAAGCAGAAGAGAGACCAAAGACAAGCTCAAAAGCTTAACTGATAATGTCTAATGTTAAAAGCTGCACTTTTTGGTAACAGTAACAAATCAGCTTTCACAGAGCACCAGGCAGAGGATGCTTTATGTAAAATATGTTGAGAGCTAGGGATTGTACAGGAAAGACATTGCACAGAAGTGTTGTGATGCGCTGTCAACAACTGAAAAATAATTTAAGTCTTCAGAGCTAGTCTCTCAACAGACAGTTTGTGACTAGTTAGGTACTTCCGTGTGTGATTCTGTCACCTAGGCACCGATAAGCTGTCACCTAGGTTTCCCTTACAAGAAATCAGAGCTCTCCTGGAAGCCAAGGCTAGCAGGCTAAGGCAAGAGCCAGTTGGAGACAGCCACGTGGAAATGCCATGGTTTGAATCATGCCTATGTAGGACTTATGCTATTGAAAGCTGGTGGCAAATACTGCCAGGGATTCACAGGGTGAAAACTTCTTTCAGGAATGAGATGCTTGAATGAAAAATGAAAGGACTTGATTCTGTTATTTGAGAAGTAGGTGGAGAGGGGGAACTGTCGATGCTGTCACCTACCCCATCTTTCATTAGCTTGAGCATTAGAGTGCGTATAAAGAAAGCAGGAACACTGAGCTAAGTTTCTTTCACTTAATGAGTTTCAACTTCTCAGGCCACAAACTTTACAAAACATCTGAGGGTGAAGATAGATTTTCAATCCACCCTTACAGGATAGTTAAACACTGAGAGAAGGTAAGATTACACACATAAAATACATCTCACACAAGCAAGAAAAGTGTAATTGATATATTTGACTGTTTAGTGGGAAACTTGAGTTTTAACCCTATGTCTAAATGTATGTCACTGCTCTTTTTTTGTGTCTTTTTTGTTGCTGTTTTAGATTTTTAAGTGGCCTCGGTTGTCCCCAGTGGCTTGAGTGTCTAGGTTGTACCTTGACTAATGATTAGAGCATTCTCTCTTGTGCATATGAGTATGTAATAATTCCATGGAAAGTGGAATGCCTTCAGAAGGAGAGAGGGAAACACCATTTTAATTAGGAGTACTCAATTTCTTAGCTGCTAGTTAGCAAAGGCTGGGAAAACGAGTTAAACATATGTCAAACACCCTGAACAATTCTAATTGCAGAAGACCATCAGCTTGGTTTTGTGTCAAGTTTATTTGATCAGGTGGATGTGCTCTGAGAATGCTTAAGAGATCAAAATTTTCAGGTACAATGGAGAGATGAACTTTTTACAACATTTGCAGATACCATATATGCAGACAACAGTACATTTGTCCTTATTCAAAAGGTGATTTCAAGGGATATAAAGGACCATTGGAACTTTTCAGAAACTTGAGAGAGAAAGTATTATAAAATTTGTATTTAATACCAATTTTCTGTCATATTACAGAAACTACATCTATTTTTGACAGCTGTGCTCAAC